GATCCCCAGCTAAATAAATTTTACTAATTCCTTATACAGATATATAATGAATTACGGATATAGGTCCCAGTGACTTCGTTATAACCGAGTTTTACTGTACAAAGGATATATCAATAAAAATTTTCTTCTTAAGAACAGCAATGCTAATATTTGTCATATTAATTCAAAAGCATCCTTAGAAAGTGTAGAATTTTCATACCCCCCCCCCCCCCCCCTTCCGAACCACTTTTATATTTAAACTTTTTAATACTGAACTGATTTATGCTTTTTTCCTACCCAAAGTGCATATGTGAGCAATGTGGCCCCTGGGACTTTTGTTTATTGTTGGTCTTATAAGTGAAATCAGAATGCAATAGTAACTGTACATATTAATATATTCTTTCAGAGAGAAGAAAACTGGCATTAAAGAAAAACCAGTAACTAAAGATGTATGATAAATCAAGATGTGATCATGTGGTAAGTGGTAATTAATTCAATCATAAATAGGCATGAATGACAATTGCATTTAAAGAAAAGAACTTGATTCCAATTTTAATTGGAATGTTGAACTACCAGCTGCAAACTACAACAAGTTAGGCATAATAAAAAAAAATATGTTTGTTTACGGTTACCCAACCGACCCTATATCTAGTAGCCAACCCAAAATTTTTTTTCGTCAAAAAAATCCAGAAGCCACCCATTTGTCGGTTTAACTTTTACATGCATCTTAAATGGTCAAGCGTTTGAAATTGAAAGTACTAGAAATAGTTAGTGCAACATGGAATTAAAGAAGAAATACAAGACAGTTTTTTCATTGTGTGGTACATGTAGCTGTAAGGCAGTTGGCAAGAAAGATATTGTCTATCGCCGGTATGGCAAGCCCAAACAAAAGTAAAGCACCACACAATGGTAAAACTGTTTTGTATTTCTACCAATTCCTGTGAATTTGTGTATAAAGAAATTCAATAAAATAAAAAAAAATCCTACCTACCGACCCTATTTTATTTCAGCATGTAACAGTAAAGAAACATATTTTTTTGATTGGCCTTATGAAATAGTAAGGCTTGGAGTCTTTTTCACTTCTCTATAAAATTTTCTGTCTGGATGATATCTAGTATAATATACACCATGAAGTGGGGATTTTAGTTCACCCGAGCTTAAAACTCAAGTGAACTTTTTTGATCACCTTTTGTTTTGTCTTTTGTCCATCAAACTGTCTATCCATGTGTGAGCTTTTCACATTTTCAACTTCTTCTCAAGAACCACAAATTTTAACCAAGGTTGACATAAAGTAAGGATATTTTAAATTGTACAGAGGAAGCACCCCCCCACTCCCCCTTCACCCCAAGGGGAAATGATCAACTCTTTTAGATATTATTGATATGATCAATGTTGAGCAACTTATAATTTTGTAACCTGTAGACTTTATTTTAAGAATAATGAATATTTGTTTAAGAGTCCTTTTGTCAAGGTTTAAAGTTCAATTGAAATTATTTTGAGATACATGTATTTGAGGACTCGAGATATCAGGAGTAAAATATTTAAAGATTACTTCCAAATTACTTTGACATATCTATGGAATTCGAGATGTCTGTGTTCAAGATGCCAAAGTTCAACTGTATGGCTATGCTAAAGTAGTAAATATTATAACTTACTAAAACTTTCTAACATTGAAACATATTAAATAAACAAGACAATTATGAAAAATAAAAATTTACTGATTTCTGGCTGGTCAGTATTTTGATGACTGTAATTTCTAAAATATTCAATGAAACACTTTGAAGCTTTAACTGTAGGTATATGTTAACTAAATATACTATAAGGTAATATTTATAAATGACAAGTTTTGAACAAACATTACAACCTGCATGTATGTAAATTGGGGGTAAATATTGGTTAATGTCTATCGCCTTAATTTTCAGTGACATAAAACAAGATTTAGAATGTAGGTAAATAATACTAGTATGTGTCTGTACATATGATATAGCATATAGAACTTGTACTGAATGTTGATTAGCTAAATCTTACATGGTTGATATGTTGGTTGTTTTTGATGAAATTTAGATCATTTGTATGTAAACTGGGTGTACATGCAATATGAAATTATTCATAAGGTATTAAACATGATTAAAGCATGTGTATGCAATGCAACATATGAAGAATTTATATTGACTTGTATGGATATAGCTTAACATGTATGTACATTGTTTTTTTAAGGGTCCTGTTCTGCAGATGCCATGAGATGATCTGTCTGTCCATCTGATATCACTTGTCCTGAGTATATTTTCTCTCCTCTTAGCCCAATCTCGCTCAAATTTAACTCGTAGAGTGCCTGTGGATGGATGGTAAAAAGTGACCTTGGACCAATCATCTAGGTCAAAGGTCAGTATCAAAGTACACTATATATCTTTATTTAAAGTCCTTGTCCAGAGAATAATTTTTCTCCCTTGGTATGATCTGGCTTGTGCGCCATGGGATGAAGGGTTTTTAGTCATCTTTAACAAAATTTCTAGGTCAAATGTCAATTAATAAGAAAAAAAAAGATTCGCAATATCCTTGTCCAGAGCACATTTCTCTCCAATTCACTCAACTAAAAGCAGTGTTCTACATGTATGAGATGGTCATATTCTCAACCATACCTGCTTTAATATTAATCTGGCTTAAAACCTTACTATGTAATGTTCATTATTCGGATTTCATGGTCATTAAATTTAAAGACTGAAACTAATCACTGATATTGGTACATTAAAGGACATTGAGTGATCTTGTCAGATTTCTAAATAATATTCAAGCATACAACTCTTACATCAAATAATAATTTTGTATGAAAATATATTGCAGATTGCAGATGATGTGAAGAAAACACAAAGGAAGCTGATGTTGAAAGAAGTATAGAGTATTTAATGAAGTTTATGAATGGACTTAGATGTGAAAGACTACTTCATTGTTTACCAAGATATATGATTTTATTTATTTTGATATTTTCAAATAATGTTTTTGCACATCAAATGAATTATTAAACATATGATCTGATAATGCCTTTTCCTTTTTATACATTTTCTTGATAGATTTTGAAAAGAAAACACAGTTTACCTTGGAAATTAATAATATATATTTTGATTTAAACCTGCTGTTCTCTTTTCACATTCTAGACAAGAAAGATTTGCCATGGAAAATACAGGGATCCTTGAGCTTCCAGTTGCTTGTCAATCATTTTTCGAAATTGAAATGCTCAACCTACCCTGTAGTTTCCATGGTATGGAAACTATTACACCACAATTACACATTGCCTCCCATTTCAGAAAAATATGGGATTCTTGAAGATTCCCTGTAATTTCCTTTTATGAGACACCAGATAATTCCCCCAAGTTTCCATCACACGGAAACCGCTACGCTCCGATTCCATGTAGTTTCCTGAGTCATGGAAACTTGAGGAATCATGAAGTTTCCTCTAGTTTCCATTCATGGGAAATCTGAGGATTCCATCAAGTTTCCATTCCATGGAAACCACTACGCTCCGATTCCACATAGTTTCCTAATTATGGAAACCAGTGGAATCTTCAGGTTTCCCATTACGGGAAACTACATGGAGGCTCGGGAAACTTCAGGTTTCCGTGGTTCGGGATACCAAATGGAATCGGAGCGTAGTAGTTTCCGTGGTACGGAAACTTGACGGAATAACCTGGCATCCGCTGCGGAAACCACTAGGAAACATGATGTAAACTTGAGGTTTCCATGTGGTTTCCATATAGTTTCCCATGACGGGAAACTGCTTATTTCACCCAGTGTATGCAAATACATGTATTTTATCTCTTCTAATATTGTTAAATTCATGGTACCACAGATTGTTTCTGGTGTTAGAGTTGGGCTTTATTGGTCACATAAAGAACATTAATAAATATCCGTCGTCCGTCCGTCTGTCTGTAAACAATATTTCAAAATGATATTCCTCTTAGTTTTGGTCCGATTTCAATATAACTAGGCACACAAGTAGATTACATGAAGATAAATAATTCTATTTATCGGTTTTTGATTTCAATAATCGGTGTTGCCATGATAAATAAAAAAAGAAGTTTGTATGATTTTCTTTTTTTTCAGAACGCTCTTTCTCTTAGTTTTGGTCTGATTTCAATATAACTTTTATTCAAGTAGACTACACTACGATACATTATTCTTTTTGTACCCTTTTTTTTTTTTTTTTTTTGCTTTCGGTGAACGGTTTTATCATAATTATTGACAAATACATTTTTTGTGAAATTCTTCCAAAAGACTACTCCGCCTACAATTTTAGTCTAATTGCAGATTTATCAAGTATTATTATTCTATTTATTGCAGTTGAAATACATGTAGTTCCAAATGCTACCTTTATCTTCCTTAAAGATTATAAAATATCACTTCTACTTCTTGTTATCAGTACAAACCAGTAGAGCTACAGTCTCCTCAGAGATATCTGGTTGGGATTTGTCGGCGTCAAAAGAGACTTTAAGATGTGATGATACTTTTCATCTTTAAGATCTTGTGAGGAAGTGTTTGATTAGGGCATTTTGATGCGGACATTAAACTTGTGGTTTGTCTTTCAACCGACCCAGTATTATAGGATACGCTTAATTAAGATATTTTGCTTGAACCAATGATCCTAAATGCCATGGTTTCGGCCATACAGCAATTAATGCACATATGTGTCAGTTGTCTGATGGACACTTAATCGTCTTGCAAGCCATTCTGTGTAACAAACAGTTTACTCTTTCTTTCCCTAGACTCTTTACAATTAAATGCTGGCAGTGAGCATGTATCCTTCTATTGGTTCAAAAGACCTGTTGTCAATATGTACATTGTTAGTAATTGTTCACTTTGTCAGCGTTCAACTTCTTGTGGTCTGTTTCTAAAGAGTGACCCAGTCTTGGAAATGCAAGTAGGAGAGAGAGGTGCAGTTTAACATCCCCCTAGATGATACACATTTTCAGTTAAATTTTCAAAAAATAAATTTGCTTGAGAAATTTTGTTATAATAAGAAACACATATCAGTTTAAAAAAGAACAGATTTATTTGTGCTATTTCTGTACATATTATGATGGAACAGTGAACATATGTATGCACATCTTTATGTGTTCACAATAAGATCAATCTTCAAGTTATAAATTGAAGAACTAGAAAAAAAAATATCGCTACAAAAATGACTTCAAAGATTATAAAATGTCACTTCTACAAGTTATTTCAATAGCACACTTTTTTCATTCATAAAAATTTGAAAGCATGAAAAATATAGGTATGTATAAATCAACTGCCACATCATAATGAGGATTTTCTTTTAAAAATCTATCAAACTCAACAGAAAGTTTCAAATTTGACAACAAGACATCGGCAACCATTATTAACAAAGGGAAGTAATGAGATTTAACAACTGTGTCCATTGACACATAGTTCAGCACTACAAAAAATCTACCCACTGTCTTGTAAGATGTGGATACAGTATTGCATAAAGATCAGTCAGCCATCTTAAAGATATTCAGCCAAAGCTCAAATATGCAGGCAAGGATGTTTATCAAAGCCTCTGTCTGCATGAACAAAATTAATGCTATACAAAGTTAACTTTCACTTTTAAAGAATAGTGAGAAAAAAAAATTAAATGGTAAAAAATCCTCATTGACTTTTAAGTCTACAACTCTAGAGCATAATTTCAAAATTCATTATTAAAAAAAATAAAGCTTTTTATCCATTACAACCAACTCATTCATTAATTCAAATTTTATCATGGACACAGTGTAACATATTTATCAGATTTTATTTTCGAACACTTATTTTAAAGAATTGAATATTTGACAATCTATCATTAAAATGTAATTCATATATTCATAAATTTCATATTGCAAGTCACGAACCACACCATGTAAGGAATACAGCATGCTGTTTGGGTTTTTTTTTTTTAATATAAACATGCAAGTAAAGCTAGCTTAAACCTTAAAATAGTATTATAAATATAATACACTTCATATACCCTTAAATACTTATAAAACAGAAATATTGTAGCAGACAATCTCATCACTTAAGCATTTAATTCCGTTTAACTGATTTACGCCAATACAGCACCATTTAATTTTCAATTAAATCAAGTTCAGGCAGTTCTTAAATTGTAGCTCACATAGACAGCTAGCATTGTGTCAAAAAAATTTAAATTATTTGTCTATTTTTAAAATCAGTTTCGCAAGATAAAAATCTACTGCAAATTTGACGTACATGTAATATTAAGTATTGACTGAGGTACAGTTGTGAGAACACGATATGTTGTTCCATTTGAAGATAGCAACTCAAAAATAGCTCTCTTAAAATGTACATGTAAATAAAAATGTTAAACATAATTCTTCGAAACAAACACATAACCTGCTAATCTAGAAAGCATTTTAATTTTTCACACACTAATTGTTTGGCATATGTTCATGAAACAAACTGAAGGCTACATATTTTCCATTGTCTTCAATTATTTTTTTTTTTTAACATGACATATATAAAAAAAATTTCTTTAATAAGAATAATGAGCATGATTTTTTAAAGAATTTTACTTTGCACATAAGAGAAAATGATATTCAAAATCAAATTTAAGGAAAATCATGCATGACTATGCTAAAATACTATTTTCATGAATCTTTTCTGTGCGCAAATTGAAAAGACTTTATGCAACAAATACTGTGTACAAATGCCCTGTCTAACGAGCTAGCATCAACTGTTAAATTTTTATAACATATATCTTAAAATTTACAAAAAAAATAATTGCATCCAAACAAGTAAATTTAATGACCCAAGTTAATTTCAATGATACATGTTACTTTTTAATGACAAAGTATTTTTTCTGTGATAACGATGGATTCCAGATGTTGCACGTTGAAGTTTTATGATTGAGCCCTAATATCAAGAACAGGATATTCTGTACAGAGAGAGATCTATGGATGAGTCAGCTAGATGAACAGGGGACATCACTGTGGCTTATAATTCACCACTTCTTCATAAACTTTAACTGAAAATAAAAAAAAAAACAAAACAAAAATTAGTCAACATTGATACATATGCAATACTATTCAACAGCAAGTTCTGTGCTTCTCAAAATTTTGTGGAATTTTTTGGTAATTACAAAACACAGAATTATAGAATGCACGTATTCAAAAACTGTGGTAATTCAGTTATAATGGAATTGCAAATACAAAAATGTATTACAATGCAGACTTTAGAATTTTAGAAATGTACATCTACATGGTACATGCACATTGTGCATAGACTAACAACACACAGATTAACTGTGAGTCAAAAAGGAATATATGTATAATTCAATTTGAGTCAGTTATATTTGTACTTTTCTCAACAAAAAGTTGCAGAATTTTATAAATACATTTTTTATAATTAAAGTGCCCCCCCCCCCCCCCCCCCCCCAAAGTTAAAATTCATCCTTAACAACTAAGACAAATTGGCCAATTAATATTATGCAAACCTTTCCATTCCGGTATAGTGAGTTCCATGTCTTCAAATGATTGGTCATAAGCTTCGGCAGTCGGTTCGTCACTAGGATCTGCATACTGAGCTAAGTAAGGGTGTGCGAGGGCTTCCGTTGCCGTGATACGTGTGTCTGCATCCAAATCTAACATCTGTTCCAACAAATTTATTGCTACAAAGAGACAGAAGTCACAGATCAGGAAATGATACAATTTTAGGTCAATTTTTTAAAAATATACATGTATAATAAAGTACATAAAATTGTATTTGTTTCAAAGCTGTCAGTCAATATTATAATATTGCAGTTAACCAATTAGAGAAAATAAATAAATTAATTTAAATATGAATTTATATGAATTTTTACCATGTGGATTAGCCCCAATGAACACTTCTCTGAAATCTTTCTTTGGCCATTTTGGCATTGATGCCACATAATTCCTAGCCTGCAACAAAAAATTATTTTCTCTCATACATGCATGGTCCTGAACAATTTGTATTTTGAACAAAAAAGAAAGAAATGTTCTGTTCATGTGTTATCTCTTTACTCAAGAATGCACAATCCATTTCTGAGGTTCACTCTTCAAAACCTATTGCCTTTATTAATTTGAAGCATTTTGCTAGATGAGAGACTTAAACAGATCAATCCGACAATCTTTGCCATGCACTTTTCACAGAATATACGTGATTCTGACCTCTGGACTGTTGATTTTGTCTAGAAGTGTCTGATTAGGAGTTCCTACTAGTGACAACACTCTGGTCAGCTGGTCTATATCTGTTTATGTAGGTCAAGGAGAAAATTCTTTGAAATTTACCATGAAAACCATTTTATGTTTTATCAATGGAAAACCATAATTAGCTTACTGCTGCCATATAATAAACAAAACAAAGCTGTTGTGGTAAACTACTTATCTCATAATAATAAAAAATGGACTCTGTGTTTTATTACTTTTCTATTTGGTGAAGTGATGACACAAAAATATTATATTTAAACAATTTTGTTAAAAGGATACGATCTGTTCCAGGAAATAGAGGTTTGCCTGTCAACATTTCTGCCATAATACATCCCACCGACCAAATATCCACTGAAAAAAATTTAAAAAAAAAAAAAGGTCCATATAAATACATATATTGTGATATACAATCCTTTCAACTACACATCAAATGATATAAATATCAAATAAATACGATAGCAGGTACTTTAAAAGTCCAGATACACCATATTACATATAAATGCAAAATTCACTCAGTAACAAAGAATGGTCAATAAATAAAGACAACATGTACATGTATATAAATTGACCCTGACTCATAAAGAAATATTCAAAATGTATATATGTATTATTATATTAGATATATGTACGTAACCAGAGTTATGATATTAATAAAATTAAATGCAACTTGCCCTGTTTCCGTATATGTGAGTATGTGGTATGAAAGACTTTGTGTGAATGTTGTATTGTTATTTTTATTCACTGGACAAACGGTCACATGACTTTACAATTCTGTTCACTAAATTCCCGCTCTCTCTTACTAACGTCCCGCACACCTATCCTAGCCATTGAACCGGTGAGATGTATTAGAACTTCAATAGAACTTCCATACAGATAGTAATATTTGTATTCCTATTTGTGTGTGTCACGGTAAGAACTAAAGTTATAAAATGTTTTCTTATATAGTCTAATATGTTTCAATTGTCTGTCTAAATGTTTGCAACATATGTGTTTTGTGTCATCTATATGTTTTGTGTAATTATAATATTTCAGGTTTTTCTTTACCATCTTTATTAAAAATATTTGAATCTGAATCAGTCTTTATCTGATATTCTACCACAACGGCTACATGTACTACAGGCGTATAATATATGGTTGTATATTTAGGTACTATAACCTGCTTGGTAACTGACCTGTCTGACTATAGTGCATCCAGTTGAGGACTATTTCGGGAGCTCGGTACCACCTGGTAGCCACATAACCTGTCATGGAGTCCTCTGTGTGCCGCGCCAGACCAAAGTCCAGAATCTACAGAAGGCAACAATACAATGAATGATCAAAATTCACAGGGCAACAGAATCAATTGTATGCTGTGTGTAGTGGTGATTCTAAACAAACGAAAAAAAAAATTAAATAAGATATACATGTATATCGTTAGTATGAATACTCAACCTACCTTTAATTCACAGTCTTCATTGACAGCTATATTGCTAGGTTTGAGGTCCTAGAGAATAAAGAAATAAGTACATTCATAAGATACAAGCAACACCAGATGAATACAACCTGTAAGCTCCCTGTAAATTTATTTCGTAAAGAAAAATCAATTCAACTTATATGCCTTTGTAACACTTCTTTGCATTTAATCTTACTGATTTCTACGTACCCTATGTATGATTCCTGCTGAATGTATATACTGCAATAAAAATGAAAGAAATATAAGAAATTTGATAATTAAAAAAAAGAATCACTTTTAGGATTTGAGAAAAATGTACATGTGTTTATTTGCTTCCTCATCTACAATCCTATACTAAAAAAAATGTCACAATAATCCAACAAGAAAGAAAAAAGATTGAACACCTTTTCATTCAGAAAACAATTTTCTTCTGATGGAGATTTGTACTTGAATTGAAAACTTTTCTTTAGCAAAGTTTACAACAATATTATAAAGAAATGTGGTATTAAAAGTTTGTAATAGAACAGCGAAATGATTTGAACATATCCTTACCTTAAGTCCCCGTAGGATTTGATAAACTAGGAACTGTACATGGTCGTCACTGAGTGTTTGTGTCTTGATGATGTTGTTAAGATCTGCTCCCATTAATGGAGACACCAAATATCTATATACAAGATTTATATTTATTATTAATAAACAAATATTTGCCTCTGATCCAATATTAAATCTAACTTTTTTTCATTTTTTTTAAAATTAATTCTAAGTGCTTGGATATGTAAACTTATAATGATATATAAAATATTTTTCTGAGGGTTAAAATTGAACACATTTGTCCCAGATCATTGCTGTATACATATATTTCAAGAAGGATAACTCTAGAAACTTTTGAATCCTATACATACACATCATTGAAGTCATCAAAATTTGTAGTTGCTGTGAACACATCCAAAAGTCCAATAATCTAAACAGAAAATATATCAGTGTATATACATTAAGTAAAAAAAAAAAAAAACATATTGCATATAAATACAATGTATACATAGTCTTTATTTCTATATGTATATTTTAAAAGTTTACAACTGATGAAGTTACTAGTTCACAATCGGAAACACGTTCAAGTTATATCCAGAGAACGAGTTAAATCTAGATTTTTATTACATGTATTATATACTTGTTAAAAGTTAATTTCTCATATATTATGAAATTTTATCCTACAATTCACAATTTCTCCACAGATCCAACTTAGCTTCCAAACCTCGTTATCTCGAAACCAATGGAACCCAGAAAAAACTTCAAGATATCCAATGATCATTATGATTGCAGATATCGATGTTGAAATACAAAAAGAAAAAAGTGGTTGGGACTTTAAATTCACTTTGACACTGACTATAAGACTTACATTTTCATGGTTCATGTGCTTTAACATGCGGAGTTCTCTGTACGTTCTCTTGGCGTGGATGGCAGACTGGAATGGCCGGGCCAATTTTTTGATGGCCACTTTGGTGTTTCTCTGAGTATCCACAGCAGAACTGAAAAAAAAAAAAAATATATATATATATATATATATACGAATACAAATCACTTAAAACATGTAAAATATTACACAGAGTTTTACATTACAATGATCACCCACATTTCAATCCTGCATGCTAATAATAAAAGAAAATAGTCGTTTCACCAAGGTCCTTAGAAAATGAGCATTACTAGTCATTGGTGTGAACAATAATGGCCTGAAGAAAGGAAGACCTCCATTTTAAATCTGGAAGACTAAAAGCATAAGTTTTGGCCAATATTGCTTCAAGAATATTAAAGATGCTGAAGTAAAAATCAGTAAGAAAGCTGAAGAGCTCCTGCTTTTAGAATATGGGAAGAAATGAAATTTTAAACTTCTTTTATAACAATTTTATCAGATTTTTTTTCTCAAATCTGCAATTTACAAGATTTATTTAGAGATTCCTCATCTTTGACCTTGACCTCTTTTTATGCAACAATTCATCTCAGCTACCTACAAATTTGAACGAACTCTTGCAGTATAAAGCTGGTTTGTAAACATGGTACATGTAAATATAAGACTGAGAAGACATGTGACAAAGGAAGGATAAAAAAATTAATGCCAATTACAGCAGATGCAGAATTATATAAAAACTACATATATATAATGCATTGAATGAAAATATCTAAACTTCTGTTCCAAGACACTTCCTCTATAAATCTATGTGTAATATATTCTAACAATGAACCCTAGCTATGAAGCACTCATATCATGAGGAAATAAAACAGGAATTTTACTCTATAGCACCACAGCATCTCCCATCATGCCCACATTATTACATGTAACACAATGAAAGCAAAATGGCACATCAAACTTCTAAGTTGAAACTGCTAAGCAATAGCATATAAATATATGTCACTGCAATCTAACCTTTCTCTATTTCCATGGTAACACTGAGGCCATTTTGAATGTTGCATACACAACTACATTTTGTGATTATTATCCTGTTTTTTATTGTGAAGTTTCATTAACTGTCCAAGCCATATCTGCAAGAACTCCTGTAGACAAAACTTGGTGGAATAATAATACCCCCACCCCACCCAATAAATAATTTGTGAATTTCGTGTGAAATATTGACTAGGTTTCATAATAAACCAGACACATAAATATATCAAATCTACAAAACATATGTAGAAAAAGTTAATTGTAAAAATGGTAAATGAAGATGAAGTGCATTTTAATATTTTCTATATCTTTAATTTAATTTTTTTTTTAGATCTTCAACAAATATAACAGGTACAAAGAAAATAAACAATGTTCCACACAGAGAGCTGTCACACGCATCGTTATAAATTAATACTTGAAGACCAATGACTCGTTGAATGACGTACATTAATGCATCACTGTTATAATCTCCATTATTGGATTTCACTTTGTCTGGACACTTAACATGCTCATCTCCATAACTCATGATAACTTCCTTGTCTATGTACTTTATACAGTGCACCATGACTTTGACACAAGTACATCATGTACATGTATATAAAAAAAATTTAAAAAAATTTCAGAGACATACAGCTAAAAACTTTTACTTCTTTCAGATTTTAATATTATAGTTTCAGTTGTATGTGTTAAGAGAAGGAGAATGTGTTAAGAAAAGGGGGTGCTAATAAACATGTGTATGTAGACATAGTAAAATTCCCAGAAATGGCAAGTATCAATTAGCTGTTATATTTTTAAAGAAAAAGTATGCAAAATATGAAATGAGAAAAAAGGTGGTTCTTAACTTAGCACAGCATTCCTGAAATTATGGCATCAAATTACAAAGTAAATATTAAAATTAAGAAATAATAAAGAAATGATCTATCATGTATATAAATATGCATTAAATTTTACAGAATTCTTAACACTGAAACATTATAGGATTGACAGCCAAACTGTTAGACATGACTGATTCCCAATATAGCTTCTTTTCCTGTTTTTGCCTTGCGTGATATAAATAGATCCATATTAAAAATGTCTGCGAGACCAACATGGAAATCATTTAATTAACAACAAGTCTACCTCTGTAATCGTTTATCATTATTGTGACATTTCTATTACTTCCTCCCTATCTCCATTCATATTCTGATGTGTATCAGAAAATTTTGGAACTGCATAACATTCTTGAGATATAAACAGCATTATCATGCTGTACACATTTCTTCCAAATAACTTGACTTCCCCCCTCTGATTAACATGTGCTGAACCCCTCTGATGCTATTTTCATTATGCATTCATGTGTAATACCCTGACTCAGCTTTTTGTATGGCTAATTACATGTATAATTAGCATTTCTTGGCAATTTATCTTGACACCAAAGTTTATAGTGTATTTCCTGTATCAAGTAGATGTATCCAAATTAATTTGTTCAAATTCTTTAGTGCTCCATACATTAACCTTTTTAACTTTTTTTTCTGCACATGACATTTTTTGAAAATGAACCTGTTACTTGCAAGCTGAGGTACAGAATACAGATTGAAGCAAGCCTATACGCATTTATCATGTTTATATCTTAATTATCTATATAAAAATGTGTCAATTATTCCATGCAATAAAATAATTTTTATAAAGTTTCAAAATACAATATCTTTTTATGCTGCACTGTGTTTTATAATCTTGAAAATCAATTCAAAGACAATAAATTTCTCAGCCTGAGAACACTACATTCATAATACATGTAATATATTTCATTATGTAATTTTTTTTACTAATTCATTCAAGTATCGGGCATCGCAGATCTCTCGATACTTATATCATTATCAGATTCATAAATAGCTCATGTTTTTTATTTGACTAAGTGATATCTAAAGCATGTACAAGTTTTATTCCATATACATGTACATGTATGCCTTTAGATTTAATTCAAATGTAAATGTGGCTAATTATATTCTATTTTAATGTTGAAGCTGATACATAATATCTTGTTTTAGCCTATGAGAGCAGAATCCACACCCTACCGGGGATGATAAACAACACTAGACAATGGACAGGCCTTTCAAAATCTTTAAGTACCTGAGTACCAGATACTTAAATCTGGCTGAAATCATGAAAGTATATCAGGCTCAGCCAGAATATTCATTGGAGAAAATTTAATAACCTATTTGATTAAAATCTCTTCCACAACTACCTCCTATTTTTGTAAAAAGTACTGCCTGTTTCTCATCTTTTTGAAAGTCCTGAACGGATGATATTATAAATATCTACACACATGAAAATTTATGCTCCACAAGTACCATCTAGTTTAACAAAAAAGAAATACTACATGTAGTTGAGGACAATATTGAAAATTTTACCCAGAGTCTGAGAGAAAACTGCTATAAACTAAGTCTCGATCATAATGGTTTTCTTGGAGTGAAAACTTTCAGTGTTATCCTCAGTTACATGCATGTTTATTCATTACCAATGTTATATATTTCTTGGCACAAAAATAAAATTGCATATGGAAGAAGATATTGTTTATAAATTAACTATTAATGAATTAATATCAAAGAAATCAACAAAATCAACTTTAGTACGAGGGGCATTTCAAAAGTTCTGACAACTGGTATATAAAATTTTAACTACGCTAAGGATTAAAATGACTCTGATACCACTGTAAAGCTTAGGCAAATATGCATTAGTAGTGACGTCATTTTACATTCAAAATGACGTATAGGTCTGCTAAAATGATGTCATAATTAGGTATACTCTGTATACTGGGCGTAAAAATGACTGATAAGGAGAGCAATTTTTTTGTTGAGCAAAGAGTGTATTGCAAAATTCGCTCATTGCTTGGCTTTTTATGGCAACAGAAATAAGAGCCAATTTAGATGTAGTATATAGAGAGCATGCTCTTTCATATCGAGCAATAGCAAGATGGGTAGTTCAATTTAAAGACGGTAGAAAATCAATTGAAGATGACCCCCGTTCGGGGCGTCCAGTTTGTGCATATGGCGAAAAAGAAATCGTCGCTGTTCAAAATACGATAGCTGATGATGCTAGATATACAGTTGAGGAAATAGCAGACTTAACTAACATTAATTCGTCAGCAGTTTTTCGTATTTTTAAGGAAAACTTAAAGCTTAGGAAAGTCTGTGCTAGATGGGTGCCGCATCTTCTCTCGGAAGAGCAAAAGCGCATCCGGGTAGAAATGGCTTCACAGTTACTAACAATTTATGAAAATTGTGACCAAAGGTGAATAAATGAGATTGTAACTGGTGATGAAACATGGATATATTTTTTTAAACTGGAAACTAAGCTCAATAATAAAGTTTGGATCGGTGAAAATGATACAAGGCCTCAAATTGCACGCAGAAACCGGTCTGTCTGGAGAGTAATGTATGCCTTATTTTTTGATTCTAAAGACCCTGTTGCTCAAGTTCCGGTTCCAGAACACAGCAGTGTTACTGGTCAATTTTATGCAGAGAATGTCTTAATTGTCTCAGGTTGTAGAGCACTATAAAATGACCCGACCAACAACCAGTACTAGCGGAATAAAGCTCCTCCATGACAACGCACCTGCCGATAGATCAGAGGTAGTAACCAAATATTTAAAGGAAAATGGTATTGCTGCTTTACCACATCCACCCTACAGTCCTGACCTAGCTCCATGCGATTTTTGGTTGAATGCCGTTATCAAAGAAGCCCTCTGAGGATAGCGATTTGAAAGTCATCATGCAGTTGGAAGTGCCGTATTCCAGTGTATGAAGCGTATACCGAAAGAGGACTATAGGGCAGCATTTTCCACGTGGATTTCAAGACTGAAAAAGTGTGTCCAGGTCAACGGAGACTATTTTGAGGGATTGATATAATTTAATTTATGATAATGATGATCATTAATTTACCGCACACCAGTTGCCAGAACTTTTGAAATGCCCCTCGTATAACATGTGACATATGTCTACAAATCCAATACAAATAGTTTCCTAATAAGTTCTATCATGATGTTTATCCTTCATTTTCAACATAAAATCACATCCCACATCATTATTCCTTCAGTGAAGTGTTAATTTTCATATATATTTTTTGTATTACTCAATCTAGGAGAGCAGACTGTGTAAAAACCTCAAGACCAATGCAGAGCCATGCATCTTTATTCAGACAGCTAGCGTTCTAAAATTCCAAGTCCAATGTGAAAGCATTTGGTTCAAGAACCTTGTAATTTCTTTTCATTTTTAACATGTTTTAAGAAATAAACTTTCACAAAGAAATACATATCTAAATCAAATTGAAGTCTAATACACGACTGATAAAAAGTACCCTGCTAACTAAGAAGTGTTGTTCACAGCTGTCAGAATTGTGGATGAATTTATTAAAATGTACTTGAATAGAGTTTCTATCTTATAATGACACTAATTTAAAAGCATTATCCTCTCAAAACTAAAACACTGAATTGTACAGATACATGTATGTATACTAATATTTTTTGTTCAGTACTTGAACATTAATTAACATGATTAAGTGTGTACAAGTTTTTCGTCTGAAACCATGAACACAAATCTTAACGTTGGTGTTCAGGGTTCTCTTTAACATGCTTAAGAGCAAATACCTGGCAATCCTTTGGCCTCTATACTTCCATTAAATTATTTCTTAAAAGGAAGTTTCTGAATGATTTTATCATTCACTTATTGTGCACTTATTGGTCAAACAAGGAAATTCCTGATATATATCATCTCCAAACATGCTTAAGTTTTAAACAAATGTCATTACTATATGTAGTTAAACACCTAGCAATACACGCAATACGTTAACTATATAAGGTAACTGCATGGATTTACACATGCAGATTTTAGGAATTTCAAGTCCTTTTTTTGGGGGGAAAATTAGAATGAAAGAACATGTACTGGTACTATATGAATGTAAGTGCAGACTTGATTTAGAAGTAACAAAGGCCAACTAAGGATTTCGCATGAGCTTTGTCATAATTCTGCTTCATGTTTCCAAACTCTGCCATGATTTTGGGGTTTAATCATAATTTCTTGGCTATTAGGTAAATTAACAATGGTTACTTGAAATATAATTGTGATATGTGTTACTGTAATATGTGTTTAACTGGCCAGGAAAAAAAATGTGATGGACTAGACCAGGATTTGAATGTGACTCCCTGGATCACTAGTAAGTATCTCTTCCAACTTAGCTATCTGACCATCAGCGATCAAACCTTACAAGTAATCATGGTACCGAAACTAACATATGTAAACATGTATATTTACATTAATTACATATGTATCCATTTTTCAAAGTAAAATTACATTATATTATACACACACCAGTGATACAAACACAGAATCCTACAGCATTACCATATTCTGAATCTTGATTAACTAATCATACTAAATTGTTATAATGAACAATCTTCTGGACCAATTAAGCATCCCCTCCGCTGCTTGAATGACACTTGACTCACAAAAGAGGATAAAACTGGTACTTTATATTAAAACAATTATCAAACAAAACAACAGACATACCAGACCTGTCCGTAAGCCCCTGAGCCCACTAGCTTCAAGGGCTTGTATTTTTCAGGTACCTCCCAGGTAACATTGTTCAACCTCACTTGATGCACAAATGGTGCAGGTGGACAATGCACACAGCCACTTATCATTTCACCTTGTCTTTGGTACAACACCTCCATCTCAAAATATTTAAACACTGGTAGATTTTTTGTGTCTTAGTGGAGAAATCCAGTTAAATAAATTGAATGTATTTTCCTTCTTAACTATGAAAAGTACATTGTGCACTTGCCAGGCTGGAACCCCCTATGCCTACCAGTTGTTGACAAAAATAGCAACACAAACTCTGTCTAAATATAGAACAATTCTGACTAACATCAGTGAAAAACAAATGAAAAATCACTGAGTCAACAATATCCTCGAGATTTCTGAAATTCCAGCGGAATTCCGATCTACATTAAATGGAATACAACACAGTGACACATAACCAATAGAGCTTATTGCGTTAATGAAGATGCAAGTTCAAAGATCATGCGAGGAAAATGTTTTGTGGCAAAAAGAAGACAAGGGTGCATGAAATATAAACATTTGGAATAACCCTGATTATTTTTTTTTTCACTTACCATACTTGGCCGTAGGCACCCGCCCCCACGGGAATCAAATTTTGGTATCGCTGGGGGACTTCCCAAATAGTCTTATTAAGTTCAACACGGTAAAAATCAGGTTTAATCTGCGCGGACGACATTTAGGGCATTGAACGTTTTGATGACTTCAATACTTTCAAAGCAAGTAGCTGGATGTCCTGTTAATTAATTGCACTGATTTAAGCTTGCAGGATCAGTATTGTTCTTGCAAAAACTTTTCAAAAATATGCCAATGCCCTAGAGCTTCCGGAACTTCAACATCAAGGTAAAAGCTTTTCCATGACTTTGATTCTAAATTAAAATGTAAAAACCAGACTTTTCGTAACAAAATTCCGGATTTTTTTAAAGTGAGGGTGTACGGGATATATACTGTTACATGTAATGAAATTTTATTATAAACTTATTTTTACTGGTATTTACATGTATTGAAATATTAGCAGTTTTTTACAGGGACATTTAAATTTCCAATTTTAGTTCATGCATAGATCCAGTATAATTTTTTCCCAAAAGCTGGGGGGGGGGGGGGGGGGTCAAACTCATTAAAAATCCATCTCAGAATCTTATTGACAAAGTGACCAAAATAAAACCTTAAAGAACATTCCAAATCCCCCAAAAACTATTTCGTTTGTGTGTGTGTGTGTGGGGGGGGGGGGGGGGGTTGTTACATGTACATGTAAGCATGGTAAGAGATAAGTCGGTTTCCTTCGTCTACATTAATGACTCTCCTTTCCATTCAGTTTACCAGGGGTCCATGTTTTCTACAGGGGTCCGTGATTTTTAGGTGGAGGGAGTGGGGGTCCAATGTCATTTTTTCCTTACTTTACAACTTTGAAAACTTTGAAAAATCCCCACGGGGTGGGGGTTGAGGGGTACGGAGCCCCTTGACCATACCACCCTCAAAGATCCGCGCATGCAGTTACATGTAAGTGGTGACAATCTTAAATTTTCTTATCATAAACAAAAAGCAATATTTGTAAAGTCTTCGATAGATATTAAAAAAAACGAGTGTTTTAATTCCAAGAATAAAGGTATACATGTAACCCGAAAAAAAAAAAATCACCATGAAATACATGTATATGTATATCACTATAGGGTACTTTGAAACATACCGGTAAAAGTATCAAGGACCTATAAGGAAACTCGTGTCGCAAATTGACGGTATATATAGAAAATTCTATCTTTGTTGGACAAATATAACTTAGCCAATATATATATATTTCATCAATTCTTTTTAAAGAGGTAAAATATGAAAAATATGGTATTAAAAAGCAATTAGAGAATAGTGCTAATGAAATGAAAATTTGAAATACCTTATTGTTACAGAAAGTACAGTGAATGACGTTACAAAATTCTATTTTTGATAGATTTGTGTGATTTAAATAAAGCAAACTGTTTGCTATTGATACATGTATGTCGAGAAAAGCTGAAGGATTTAAATTTATCATAAATTTTCAATGTTCACTGAACCCTATCCTTGGGCCTCAACCCTGACCTCAGGAGAAAGAAAGTTTTCAGGTCTACCGATCCCCTACATATTTCGCCCAACGTCTGGCATAATCTTTGGCAGAATTAGTCATTTCTGCCGGCAAATAAAAGATCGGGGCTCTCTGTGCTTAGGACCTAGTAAAATGATTGCTTTTAGGTCGTCATTTTCAACCACATTAACATCACCAGTAATGATGTGTCCAGCTGGACTATACTGTGAACGTGTAGATTTGGACGGTACTAAGATTTCGTCTGGAACAGCATCCGTTGTTGCAGAGCAAACGGGGTGAGGGAATGTTGACGTAGATGGTACAAGGAATAGGTAGAAGCGCTGTGTGGCCGTTTCAGTAGGGGAGTGAGGCAGAAAACAGAGAGTAAAGATATACACATAAATTTTGAAGTGTCCGTAAAATCGTTACGTTTACCTCGTTGTCATAGGGTCTGTCTGTCCGTTTAATCAATTAGTATAGCGAGTCCCCCCCCCCTCCACATATTTTGTACGGAGTGAAGAGTAACTGATTTCCCAGGTTGTTATTATATATTTTATTAACTTCAATAAATGTGGAAAATATTGTGAGTGTTGAGCTAAATTCCCTGGTAATCACCAAGGTGGAGAAACACCACAAAATGGGCGGTTTTAATACTTTAAAGAAGAAGAAGAGCAAGAACAATTTTGATTTAGACGACCAATATCTTGGCATTGTAAGGTTTGTTTATAATTGAAAAGTTTGGAAGCAACTGTGTTTGGTTTATACCTGTAGGAAATGCAGGATGTAGACGTCAACTTGACAGATGGAGAAATGCAAGACTGAACTATTTTATGATTAAGAATTTTAATAAATGTATAATGTTCACAGCATCTATTCCTTTGTTGGTAAAGAAGATGGGCGTACTTGGCGTGTGATTTGCAGGAATCATGTGTACGAAACATCTATAATTCAAAGCAATATGACCTGCATTTTTGGAAATTTTATTTTGCAGTTAAATTATGCTTTTATGATAAATCTATTAGTAACTTAAACCTTTAATATGATCAATTATATGAAAATAAAATATTGAATTGTTTCAGGAGAATGGAATATATATAGTATTATATAAGAAATCAGTATGGTACAGGACGAATGTAATTTTGCTTCAATCAAAGCTTATACGTAGATCTTCCATTGCAAATATGAAAAAAGAAATTTATAAATGTTCGTTTTTCTGTCATTGCAATAGTTACATATGTAACTACAATTTTGCAACCAAAATTTTCCGACATCAAAGTTGCAGCTCATATTGCTTTAAATGTCCACGATTTTGTAGGCTGACCACAGCTGGACAGACTTCACAAAGTTTATATGAACATATATAGGAAAATATTTCATTCACATTAAAATACCTTGTCAAATTGTAATATTTAAGTTCGCTTATCTTAATAATTACGATAACATAGCAACACTTTACAAAAATGATAAACACCTATAAAATAATAGGGTATATTTTAATGTAACTATATTAGAACATGTACGTTGGAAGAATTGTTTTATCTCTCGATCGTTGCAACTGAACCAAAAATTACCTATTTTAAAAATTTCATTAATCAGTAAATAAAATTTACCTGACAAACGAATTGATTTTGAAAAAAAATAATAATAAACGTCCCGTGCGAGAATAAGGGTATTGAGGAGTGGCTGCAATACTCAAGCTACTTTACTAAGAAATATATAGCATAATACATTGTACATGTATTTACATGTACGAGCTTACAAACGATGTGGTATAGAAACATTTTGCTAAATTTTACATTTATTTATAGTGCGCTGTTTTAAGATATAAAAATATATAAAAATCAATCATATAGCGTGTAAAAGAGGGTTTGTTATTCTTTGTATCACATAACAGTTTAATGACAGTAACTAGGATACAAAACTATATATTAATGCATGCATACGGACTTTCCGAATCAGTCATTTTGTTCAAATTTAATTTACGCAGGTAGGTTAAGGCTTCCCGTAGAATATCACAGTGCACTCTGTGCCTTCACATCTCTGAACTACCAAAGTATGACGTCATAATGGAAAATGACGTCAAGTCACTGCAAAATTGAGGTGTTATGACGGGGAGAGTGTCATGAACTTTACACTTTATTTAAAACTGCATGTAAAATGCTAGATAACTATTGCAAAATTCACGGGTCGTTAAAGGTTTTTTAAGTCTTATATGTCCGAATATTTTAAAAATTCACCGCTTACGTACCCTTGATTGAAATTCAGCATGTTCAAAATGCTTTTGAAAAATATACTTTTGAAATGTACTCTGTTTTATACCCGTGGTTGGAGGTAGAATTTATTGCGTGTGTATAAAAGAGTCTGGCGCAGGTGATTAATGAGGATTAATCTGAGAATTTTTGTGGAAATCTGTAAGAAGAGGTTGTTCTCTAACTGAATCTTGCTTGGGAAAAATATGTGTTGGCTTTGTTTTAATACAGATTACGATATTGTGTGGAAAATACCCTCAAATTTGTAGGTAAGTTGAATTTCTCAGGAAATATTTTGTATCTAAGTAATACTATGACTTTTCCCAAGCACATTTCGGATACACAAGAATACGATGAGGTTATTTATATAACAAAATGTTAATAATTATTCTGTTAATCACCTGCGCCGAAGCGATTTATATGGAACACTTAAAAAAATTATAAATGACCTTCACGTGATCAACAAAGTCATGTGATACCATAACAAATATGTTAATATATAGCCGAGGAAACCCTTTATATAAATTGGAAGTACTTAAGTTCAATACTTATAAATTAAAATCAAAACCGACCTCGCAATGACATATTATGTTTTGAGCGCGTTTAAAAGCTTCGGGAAGCCTTAACATAGCTGCGTAATTGAATGCTAGATCATGAATATTAAGACGTGTATCATTATTGTTGTTTTCTTGAATTCTTTGACGTTGGCAGTGGCTGAGAAAAGCAGTCCCAATTCCTTTGTGAACAATCTGAAAATTTATAAAAACACTTGTCGTGAAATGGGATGGGAACCAAAATGTCTAAAGAAATACATACCTGATAAACTGAAAGGTAAGCAATACTGTATAAAAGACAATGACCTATGCAGGCCATAAAATAAAATTTATTCGAAAAAGTTTTTGTTTGTTTGTTTGTGTGTTTGTTTGTTTGTTATTTTTTTTTTTTTTAGGTCTGAGTCACTCAGGTGACCTATTGCTATCCGTTTTCGTCCGTCGTCGTGCGTCGTGCGTTAACATTTGAACATTTTTAGCTTCTTCTCTGAAACCGCTCAACCAATTTCAACCAAATTTGGTATATAGCATCTATGGGTGAAGGGAAACAAAATTGTGAATTTCATGGTCCCTGCCCCCCCCCCCCGGGGGGGCCTGAGGGGTGGGGCTAAAACCACCAAAATTAATGCAATCTTTAAAAATCTTCTACTTTACTCCTGGACATCAAGCAGTCAAACTGTTGGCATGATTGCATTGAGCATTGAGCCCTCTACCAAAATTGTGAAATTCATAGCCCCAGGGTCAGGGGTTCTGGTGTTAGGGCGGGGCTATATAGATCATACAGTGAAAGTGAATTATTTCTTTGAAAATCTTATTCTCTGCTCCTGGGTATCAAATAACTAACTAAGTACATAGTTATGATAAGCAAGAGTGCCTCTTCCAAAATTGTGAATTTCATGGCCCCAGGATCAGGGGTTCCGATGTTAGGGCGGGGCTCTATTGATTATATAGTGAAAATGCATTAATTCTTTGAAAATCTTCTTCTCTGTTCCTGGGTATTAAATAAACTAACCAAGTATATAGTTATGATGAGCAAGAGTGCCTCTTCCAAAATTGTGAATTTCATGGCCCCAGGGTCAGGGGTTCTGGTGAAGGGGTGGGTGGGTGGGGGCTCTATTGACTATATAGTGAAAATGCATTAATTCTTTGAAAATCTTCTTCTCTGCTCCTGGGTATTATATAAAGTAACTAAGTACATAGTTATGATGAGCAAGAGTGCCTCTTCCAAAATTGTGAATTTCATGGCCCCAGGGTCAGGGGTTCTGGTGTTAGGGCAGGACTCTATTGACTATATAGTGAAAATGCATTAATTCTTTGAAAATCTTCTTCTCTGCTCCTGGATATTAAATAAACTAACTAAGAAGATAGATATGATGAGCATGGTTGCCTTTTCAGAAATTGTGAATTTCAAGGCCCCAGGGTCAGTGGCTCAGATTTAATGGGGGGGGGGGGGGGGCTCTATTGATTATTTGCATTAATTCTTTGAAAATCTTCTTCTCTGCTCCTGGGTATTAAATAAATTTACTAAGTGCATAGTTATGATGAGCATGGTTGCCTCTTCCAAAATTGTGAATTTCATGGCCCTTGGGTCAAGGGTTCTGGTGTCAGGGTGGGGCTCAATTGATATATATATATAGTGAAAATGCATTATTTCTTTGAAAATCTTCTCTCTCCTGGATATTAAATAAACTAAGTACATAGTTATGATGAGCATGGCCGCCTCCTTAGAAATTGTGAATTTCGTGGCCCCTAGGTGAAGGGTTCTGGTGTTAGGGCCGGGCTCTACTGATTATACAGGGAAAATGCATGAATTCTTTCAAAATCTTTTTCTCTGCTCCTGGGTATTATTCAAACAAAGGAAGTGCATGGTTATGATAAGGAAGAATGCCTCTTCCAAAATTCTGAAATTCATGGCCCCTGGGTCAGGGGTTCTGGTGAAGGGGGGGGGGGGTCTATTGATTTTATAGTGAAAATGCATAATTTCTTTCAAAATATTTTTTCTACTACTGGTAATAAAGCAAAGAAATACATGTAAGTGTATAGTTATGATGAGCAAAGTGCTTCTTCCAGAATTGTGAGTTTTAAGATGTTCTGGTATAAGGGGGGGGGGGGGACTTTATTTATTTAATAGTATAGTGAACATGCATTTCTTTGAAAATCTATTATGCTTCTGGGCATATTTGAGGCAAACAGAGTAAAAGTTTTAATATGCAAAGGTATTTTTACCACAATTTTGAACACCTGGATTATTTAGTCAAATGTTCTGGTTCTGGCCAGGGCTCTATGAACTTGTATTCTGCTGAGCAAAGTTATTCCCCTTTGCCATTCACCTTTGATAATTAATCACTGTAAATAATGTATTTGAAAGGTTAATAGAATAATAGAATTATGCAAGAATATTTCTTGTATAATACAAAAAAGTACTTTCATAGTTTTAATGATCAGGTGGACTTGGAAATAAAAGATGAATAAAAGTGAGGCAAAAATCTTATCTTTTTTAATGTTCTTCAATTAGGCCAAGAGAGACCAATGTGAGAAGTAGTAATATGGGGTTAAAAATAGACATTTTGTTAATAGTCTGCATGGTAATAGTGATAAATGGGGGACAGATAGATTCTATACCAATTATTTTGTTGATGTTTCCCATACTATTTTTCTTGCTTTTGGGCAACAAAGCTTCATTTATCAGTTTATGGATCCTCTAAATTGTTGTTTTATACTCAGGTGACCGTTAAGGCCCTTGGGCCTCTTGTTTGTTTGTTTGTTTGTTTTGTTTTTTGTTTTGTTTTTGTTTTTTTGTTTTGTTTTGTTTTTTTTTTTTTGTTTTGTTTTTGTTTTTTTTTTGGGGGGGGGGGGGGGATTAATTGGTTTTATTTTCGTTTTTGTGTTTTTGATTGTTTGTTTGTTTTATCTTACTTTTTTACTTTATTTTTTGCCTTCTTTTTTTAAATATTAAACGACATACATGCACATTTATATTTTTCGTAATGCATGTACTGGATGTACATAAATCTTAGCTTTTTCTAAACTCAACACAGTCACAGGTCATAGCAAAACAATTATTTACTTATCACACTGCTGAGAAATTCTAAATTGTAAGATTGGAAAGTTAATTTACCTCTGTTAGTAAAAATCAAATTCTGAAGCAAGGGAATTTTATTACAGGATATCTCAAACATATTTTACTTGGATGACATATATTTCTGTAGAACTGTAGCATTATGGTTTTATATTTTAGTCTTTGACTATAATATATTTCATATACATAATTCATGTATTCGAACAAAATGATTGAAACGTCAGTTAGCTTTTGTAAGGTCATTTGAATCACTCGATTGACCTATTGTTTTTGTCCGTTGTCGTTCGTCGTGAGACGTCCGTTAACATTTGAACATTTTCAGCTTCTTCTCTGGAACCGCTGTAACAATTTCAACCAATTTTAGCATATATCATTTGTGGGTAAAGGGGAACAAAAACTGAGAATTTCATGGTCCCCGATATCCTGGGGTCTGAGGAGTGGGGCTTAAACCATCACAATTTAAGCAATATATAAAAATGTTCTCCTTTACTCCTGGATATCAAGCAGTTGTACTGTAATAGGTCAGGGGTTTTGGTGTTAGGGTGGGGCTCTATTGATTACCTGGAGAAAATGCATATTAATTTAATTTAAAAATCTTTTTGCACCTGGTTTTTGCAAACAAAGTAGTAAGCATAGTTATAATGATCAAGGGTGTCTCTTCCAGAATCATAAAATTCATAGCCCCTGCGTCAGCAATTTTGGAGTAAGGACGGGTCTCTGCTGAATTTATAGTGAAAATGTATTATATCTTTGAAAATCTTCTTTTCTGCTTGTGGGTATTTAGCATTCTAAGTGCATGTTTATGATGAGCAAGGGTACCTCTTCCAAAATTGGGAATTTTGGCCCTTCGATCAGGGGTTCCGGTGTTAGGGACTGCTTTGAATCAGAAAATGTATAGAGAAAATGCATTATTTCTTTGAAAATCTTCTTCTCCGCTCCTGAGTATCTAAGAGGCAAATGGAATACAAAGATTTTATATGAAAGGGTATGTATGTAATTCTGGACCACTTGATCTAGCGTTCTGGCTCTATTAATTTGTACTCTATTGATGGAAGTTATTCCCCTTTCCTATTCAACTATGATAATAAATCACTGAATTTATTGCAATTGAGAGGTCATATGAACAAGAGATTTATACAATGATTTTATAATATACAGTATATTACAAGAAGTGTACTTTCATAGCTTTTAATGGTTAGTAGACTTGTAATAAATAGATAAGTAAAAATGAGAGAAAAATACTTTATTTCCGTACATTAAATGATCTTCAATTTAAAGACCAAGAGAGACGAATATGAGAGGGAATGAGATGGATTTAATAGTATAATGTGTTAGCACAATTGTTTTGTTAGTTTATATGATGATAGTGACAAATGGGGACAAGTACAAACAAGTAAATATATCTACGTTTGTACGGAGTACTAGAGTAACTATTTTGTTGTGTAATGATCATCCTATTTCACTTGCTTTTGGGCAACAACGTATCTAGAAGTTCGTTTTATTTTTTACTTTTTTGATCTTTAAAGTGTTGTCCTATAATCAGGTGACCACAAAGGGCCTTGGACCTCTTGTTTTCAATTCTGCATGTAGGATTAAAGGAACATGGAAAAAGCACAGATTGATCAATTGAAAATTTATTTTTGTTGTCATTAATTATTTACCTTTTGCATAATTTGACCTGTTTGATATAATTACTATAGGTGTTCCTGTCGCTTTCCATGCTAAACTTACAAAGGCAATCAACAAACTTTCCCAAAATCAAATTATCAAATATGACGATGTGATTACTAATGTTGGAAATGGCTACAGTCCTAGCACTGGTATATTCAGAGCGCCAGTGGACGGGATATATTCTTTCAGTTGGACATACATGACGACGAAGGGAGTTAAGGCTTATGTTGGAGGAGTAGTAGATGGCAAACTTGTAGTTTATTCAGCTATTCATGGTCAAACAGCAGACTATCAAAGCACAACAGCGCATCTGGTTGTACCGATGAAGAAGGGAAACAAATTTTGGACATCCAATTTCAACTCTTATGTTCCGTACATACACTCCTCTTATACATTCATTAGTGGATATAAAGTCTCTGATTCCTGACTTTCTATCATTTTCATTCACATGATAATAAAAGCAAGTAGCTGAATACATGTACCTGGTTGTTTTTTTTATTCTAGATAAGCATTAACTCACAAAATTTTATGTAGTTTTTGTTAAGTTGTAATAATGAGTAATCTTCATAATGCTTTCGTTAACTATAGTAAACTATTGATAAATACATGACTTATACTTAAGCATTTTTTAGGGAAAGTGTGAACCATTGCTTTTCCAAACATTATTAACTAGAGAGTTACATAGTTACATTATTAAGAGAAATTATCATTGTTTTAATACAAAATATCTCTATTGCTGAAGGCACTTCGTTTAAAAAAACCAAACCAGCAGCAAATAAAAAAAGGGGAAATCGGAAATATATGAAAGCTTCCAACATATTCCTCTTTTTGATTCTATTTCTAAAACAGTATCTATGATTATGACGTACACTTGTACTATTATAAATTTGTATACCGTATATAACCTTTTGAATGAAAAAAAAGGAATGATTTTCGTCTAACATTCACCTAAAGAACCGTCTTCCTCTCTGCACTTTCAGTTCTTTCATTATCAAAGGAAACTTCCTCTTGCGTTTTAGTTTTATCTTTTTTTTTTTCATTTATTGGCGCATTGTCTTTTTTCTTAAATACAAAGCTATTCGTATCCACAAATCTTTCATATATTCAAACACAGAGCAAAAAAAATTACGATAGAACATAACAATTTCAAGTTTGTTAGTGAGAATGGTTGTAGGAACAGAAAATGAACACTCAACTTTCGAACTGAAAAATTATTTATTGGAAGAGATTTTTCTCTTTTAGGTACAATTTGTACACTAGATGATAGGAAATTTGTTATAGAGGAAATATATTAAAGAAACTTAAATTAAGGATGTTTTTTTTTTAATTTGCAAAGACCTAAAACCAAATCATTTTTCAAACTAAGCAAAGGCAGATTAAGATTATATAAACAAGTTTCATGATTTTGTACTAAGAAATATTTTCCAGGTAGTCATAATAATAATTCCATTAAACATAGTACTTAATTGAAAACAAAAGCAGAAAAAAGTTATGAATAAACAATAAGGAGCTTTTAGTAAATATATGTAAAGACATTTAAGAATCACCGTCCTTTTCTAAAACCCAGATGCAATATAACATAGATCAGATTGATATATTTCCACGTAAAACGATATTATTTTATGTAGTTTATGCACATTAGAATAGAACACACTTCCTTAATAATTTTGATTGGGTAGTTACAACAAGTGAAATACTATTACCTATTTATAGTGACCTAAACCATTTTTGTATACTATGTGTGTAATATTAAACAATTTAGCCTAAGAACAAATATAATACTGGCCTGATGTTTTTGTTGAAAGAATTGATTGTCTACAAAGGACAGTTTGAGACAATGGATACAGGGATGACATTTATCAGAAAATGCTCTGTTTGCCTTTCTTCTTTATCCTAACGTTGATTTGTATTTTCACCATCATCTTGAGCTTTTACTTGGCATAGAAATTATGTTGCTGCCATTTTTCATCATATAGAAATCCTTATATCTTTGTCTAAAAGAAAGGGGAATTTATCCTTACTTTATGGCTAATTCCCTATATAATTATTTATTTGCATTGTGCATTGAAACGCGTTGGTTCAAGCGTGTATTCTTGGATAAAAATGAAAAAAGATAATAAAACATATATCATACGCATTACACAAAAATAACTATTCTTTAAATTACCTTTAAGGACGACGGACCTAATTCGAAATTTCGAGCTACTGCGCAGAAAACCGTGCATATGCTTGAATCAAATTGACTTAATTATGTATTGCAAAAGCTAAAAAATATATACATTTTTAATTCTTTTAAAGATATTCAAATGTTTCCTCTCAATTTAAAAATATTGTAAATATTTCGATTTATATTCATTCGTTAATTTTATAAATAAATGATTTATTTGGCCAAGGTATTTTCATTGAAAATTTCCCCTAAAATGTGTCCTATAACTGTGTTTGACATGCCCCTCTGAAAAATCTAAGCCGATGACGTACCCATTCATTTTTTGGCATAATTTGCTGGTAAATTGTCTAGTTAACATTGTCCTTTAATATGAATAAAAATTCTGTTGCAGAATATTTTTCAATGATCACTCTTATACCCTACACTGGCAATTTCCCATTACTTCCTATAGTAATTATCCATTTCCATCGCCAACTTTTGAAACGCTCCCCATTAAAAATCTACATCGATGACCATATGATTTTTTAAAATTGATTTTAACTTACCAAAAGTCACTTTACCTTATATTAAAATTTTAATGAAAAATCTATTGCAGAAATGAATTAGGTCCGTCGTCGTTAAAAGGATTTGCGATTTTAAACTTTCTGAGAGCTTTAAGCTACATCAAAACTTATCTAACCTAGACTACATAAATTGCAATTAGGCATTTTTACCTGTTCCTGGTTCATTTTATTGTTTTTGCATGAAATATGAAGATAACGAATAGTTATCAAGCTCAACAGTCCATTGAAAGAAAACAAATTGGGAGCATTGGAAACACTGACCTCTAAAAGCATCAGAGGTTGGATCAGGTGTCATGAAGGAGTAAGCATCCCTTGTCGAAGGTTACACCCTCCGTGTGCTCCTTGTCATGATCTGACAAACGGAAAAATCTGGAGAGAATTCAGTGTGTAAACAATGGCCTAACAATTAGTATGAAAAACGTCAGTAAGCATTCGACTTAATGATAGATTACATGTATATTTGCTTACAAGAGCATTGTATCGACCATAGAACTTGCGAAAAGTTGACTTCAAACGAGACTGTGAATATCCCTGTTTCATCAACTTCTTTGTCAAGAGCGTTTTAGAAATTGTTCGTGCGTAGAGCCTCGTTTAAAAAATTGTTTGTACGTAGAGCATGTCCTTGCGTATCGAATCAACTGGGAGACATAAACTGCATATGCAGGTGATAAGGTATATTGTTACATAAGTAAGGAAAGTTGACGATAGAAAAGTTGAAGGCATCACGTTTATAATAAAGTTTTGCTATTAGGTTACCATTAACGTTTTTCTAGTAAAATATACAAATATGAAACAGATGTGTCAGACTATGAGGTATCTTTTATTTCAAGTTCACTGGGATATATCGAGTCGACGAAACAAGAATAACAGAAGTCTCGTTGTGAAGTCATCTTTTCGCAAGTTTTTCGGTCGACACAATGACCTTGTCAGCACATACAACCTGTCATTGAGTCAAATGCTGATTGATGTTTTCCTACTGATTGTTAGGCCATTATTTATATACTGAACTGTCCACAGATATTTCCGCTTTTTTGTTTTCCGATCATGACAAGGAGCACACGGCGGGTGTGACCGGTCGGCAGGGGTTGCTCACTCCTCCATGGCACCTGATCCCACCTCTAAATTTTGAGGTCCGTGTTTGCTCTGCTCCAAATTCAGAACGTTTCATTGGACATTCGAGATTGAATACTGTTCGTTATCTTCATATTTCATAAATGAAAGTAACTATTTTTGATTGATAATCTGTCGTCGATATATCTACATGTCGACTTGAAGGCCACAGCAAGTGTTTCTGTCTTCTCATATAGAAGTTTTTGAATGAATTCTGCTAAATGCGAATATAAAATAGGTCTGCTAATAAGGAGACGTAATTGCAATCATAAGAATATCGACAGTTTGTTGGAAGACTTGATCTCCAAAATCTACATAGATTTTTTCAGTCGGAAACTCAAGCTTCTTTTAAATATCAACTTTGGAGTACTTGTGTGTACAATCAGAATGGTTTTTAACAAAATAATTTTGCAAATGATAATTGACAAGATAAATACATGGATATTTATGAGTTCCATTTTTGTTGAAAAAGCAGCTATGATGTCAAAAAGATGGACTTTAATATATCGTGTGCAATGGTTCAAAACTTCCCTTACTTATGCAGCAATATACCTTCATCACCTGCATACGGGGTTTATATTTCTCAGTTGATTCGATACGCATGCGCAAGAGCATGCTCTACGTACGTACAATTTCTAAAACGAGGTAAATTATTGACAAACAAGTTTTTGAAACAGAATATCAGCAGTCTCGTTTAAAGTCATCATTTCGTAAGTTCTATGGTCGATACAATGACCTTGTCAGCAAATACAATTTATCATTGAGTCAAAATTTGACTGACGTTTTTCATACTAATTGTTAGGCCATTATTTACACACTGAATTGTCGACGGATTTTCCCGTTATTTCCCGATCATGACAAGGAGCACACATCGGGTGTGACCGGTCGGTGGGGGATGCTCACTCCTCCATGGCACCTGATCCCACCTCTGATGTTTTGGAGGTCCGTGTTTCCTCTGCACCTATTTTGTAATGTTTAATGGACCTTTGAGCTTGAATACTGTTCGTTATCTCCATATATTTCATGCTATTTATTTTGGTAAAATTTTGTGATTTCAAATTTTCTAAAAGTTCCATGGAGTTTTTAAGTATCTGCATCTGATTCACACCACTTCTAGAATATTGTATATCATGAAACAGTCAAACTGTTACTGGATTGGCATGGCTGTGGCGTCATAATTAATTTCCCTTACTTTAAAACTTTAATATATAATTAATATTTAAAAAAAGAAATCAAAGTACTTCCAATTTCAAACGTTCATGCAAAGTTTTTCGGTATTTTGCAGGGAGGAAACATCATACAAAGTGTTTGTAATCTTTTGGGGTCAAAAAATAAAATTTCAACGATTTAAATTTTTCAAAAAATTAAACTGCCTCCAAATGGTAAAAGAAGGTAATTTACAGTAATTTTAAGGAAGAAAAACATCATACAATGTGTTGTAGTCTTTTGAAGATCAAATACGATTTAATTTAATTTTTTTCTCTCGAAAATGAAATTGCTTCAAAACGATAAAACAGGTCCGAAATAGGACTCGAAAGGGTCCCATTGATGTATCGACGGACTGGTCACTAAATATATATTTCCTTT